AGTTCCAGTTAGGGTCGGAGCCCAAAACAGCAAGCAAGAATGACTTATAAATGAATCAAGAAAATGCTAGAAAAGGGAAAATGGAAGCTCACCCTTGTAGACCAAGTCTTAACAGCCTCTTGGCTTGAGTTGCAGCACTCCTAGGCTCTGAAGAACAACCTCCAGCTGCTGGAATGAAGGATGGAAGGGTGGGGCTAGGTGGTGTTGTAGAGAAGGGTGATGGACTTGAGAGGTTTTGAGCTTGGGAGTATGGAGAAAGATAGATACAAAGCAAGAGCTTAAGGGGGGTTTTTTGTAACCCTACTAACAGAGCTGGAGCTCCTATTATATAGGCAAAAAGAGGGGGAAAAAGGGGGGGGGAAATGGAGGGAAAACCAACCAAGTTTCCCTCCAAAATGCAGCCCCCCGGATATAGAATCTGGGGGAAAAACAGATGCATATTTGCACTGTAGCTGATGTAAGGATTCTGGCCGGCCAGTTATCTAGGTTGCAGGTGGCCGGCCGGCTACTTCCCATGGCCGGCCGGCCAAGGGTCAAAAGGTTCAAGTGTGATTAATGGCCGGCCACCACAGAAAGAGAGCCTCTGATGTGTGCACAACACACCCCTGTGGTTAAACACTGGAAAAAGTGAACCAGGAGAGAGAACAACCCACTTTTTAAAGGGGTTCAAAAGGGTCAGAAAGGATTACTGGCCGGCCACCAAATATTGGTGGCCTCCCAGATGTGTACATCACAAATATGGGGTTTAGGGTTCAAGAAAATGGCCCAAGGGTGTTCAACATTGGCTTTGAAGTGAGGGAAATCGGGCGACGGAGGGCGATGAAGGGATAAAGTTGGCTGACAGAACAATTACTGGCCTCCCACCCTTCTACGACCTCCTTACCAATGAAACAGAGGTCCCTGCCAAAAATGAACCAAAACCAATGCAAAACGAAGGTTCGGGGACCGAAACGCGCAGTTCGGGGCCCCGAAAACTGACTGTTAGGCACCGGGAGTGGTGTTCGACCACGAAGTCGGTTTCCCGGGCCACAGTGTCCCTCAAAAGGGAGCAAATAAGAAGTATGCCAAGAACCGGAGCAAACGGAGATAGTTAAGCGGTCCCGAACCGAGGCACACGGCCAACGATTCCGAAAAATTGGAAACCGAACTCCAAACGGGCAAAAATGCCCTACGACCACGAAACGTAGCCTACGGCCACTGAGAGATGGTCTACGAGACCTCTCCCTCCCTTTGGGAAGAGAAAATAGAGAAAACCGAGCCTGGTTCGCAAACCGAGGTAAGGCGTGAAAGAGTCCGGAAGTCCAGAGGCAAGGCTCGCAGCTAAGACTCTGAAACTTCCGAACGAGCACAATATGCAACATCACCAAGCGCTCTATAAACGACCCCGGTCTTTTCACCCATTTGATTATTGTATCCGGACTGTTCCGTAGATTCTGTCATTGTATATGGTTGTTGTTGTTTGTTCCTTATTTCTCTTTTGGAATTATAGGATGTGTTGGGCAGGTTTGTTCAGGTTTGGTTGGTTTAGAACCTAGTGTTGCTGTCCAGAATTTTGGTTATTCGCTCCGAGCGAGGAGTTTGTCGCTCGAGCGGAGATGTGTTTGTTTTCGTCGGAGCCGGGGGTTTGGTTGCTCGAGCGAGAGTTGTGCGTCTGGGTTGGACCTGTAGCTTTGCATTCTGGCTCGGCGAGCTTTTCATCGCTCGAGCGAGTTAGTTTGTTCTTCGCTCGAGGGTGAGTCTGTTTCAGACCTGAGGGTTTGAGTTCTTTGCTCGATCGAGCTTTCTTTCGCTCAGAGCGAGCTTTTGGGTTGTGTGGCTCGAGCAAGGCTTCCTTGGCTCGAGCGTAGTTCTCTGTGTCTGGTCGCTCGAGCGACCAGTCTTCGCTCGAGCGAGCCTGTCCAGTTTAAATACACAGCAGCGGGATTTGATCAGTCTTTTCAAGTCTTTTGATTTCCAAACCCCAGGTTCGACCTCTTTCTCTCTCCCTACTCACCTTCTCTCTTAGGTTTGATCTGTTTAGGAGAGTGATTCAACCCTAGTTGCTTTATTAAAAAGATAGAGGGAGTCAAGAGTTTCATTTAATCTGAACATTTGGCAATTTGGAGCATTTTTTGTCTTTGGGCACTCATCTCTGTCTTCACCATTTGGGTTGTTTTCTCTGAAGGCAGGGATTTCCTACTCCAATTTATAGGTTACGTTCTAAGTTTTGGTATTTTAATATGTTGGGTAATACTTTGGTAAATTTTAGGAAAAACCCTAATTGAATTATTGAATTGCTTTGTATAAGTAATTCATGGAATTGGGAAAAGATGGTTAAGTTCATGGAATTGGGGAATTCATTGATTAAATGGCATAATTGGATAATTTGAATCATTTGTCTATTGAATTGTGGACATAGTTATTTTCAGTTAGAAATAACTGTTTTGGCTATCGGTGGAGATAGTCGTGATTGTTGTAGACATTGCATGTGGATTAGGATTAAACTGAAACTAATCACATTGGTTAAGTCATAAATTTTGACTATTGCTTGATAGAAAACGTATATTGATTGAGCATTGCATTTTGCATACATTGTTGTGTGTGGGAGGAGATAGGGGATGTACTCCACGGTTTAGGGGAAAGATAGGGGATGGACCTCTAAACCGGATTTTGTTTGGGAGGAGATAGGGGATGGACTCCATTAGCATCACTTTTATGTGTGCTTATTTATATAGAAGTGTTTTGTTGAATCAGCACTTAACAGATGTGATCAACCTGGAAGTATGAAGTGTTTTGATATTTGAGCTGAGTCTCATTTGTTTGCTTGATATTGGAAGGAGGTGAATACGAATATATGTAATTCATTGTTGTAAGTTTGGCCCAGGTTTTGAGCCATGATGATAAAATTGGGAAATTAAAACGTATCTTAGATAATGGTCATGGACTGTAAAATGAAGTAATTGTTATCCTGAGTTTAACCATCTGTTGAATGCTATTGCTTTTTCGTTACTTATATGTGGTTTTAGTATATTTCTACTGGTGCCTGTGGCTCACCCTTTATGGGAACTCATTTTCAGGTTCAGGGGATAAGCTACCTCCAAGACTTAGCTTGGAAGGACTTGGATTCTGAAGACATTTTTCTGTTGTTTGCTTTTATTTGTTAGTACATGTAAACACTCAAGCCTAGGGCTTTTTTTGTATTGAGTTAGACTCGTATTTTTGTATCCAAGTGTTGGCTTGGAAAGATGTAAGCCTGTAGGGCATTTTATTCGATTATTTAATAATACTCTGATGAATGAATTAATAAAATGTCTTCTTTAAATAATGCATGTCAATGATATATAATGGGTTAATTTTGAGGGCGTTACACGCTCAACTAGTGACGTCTGAGTCTTAAGGTCGGTCAAAAATGGGGTGTCTACACACACCGAGCTCATCATTGAGACTAGAACTTCACAAATCACAAATTTTACACGACTAAAGAACTGTGCCTTCTACCAGGTGTAGTATGAAAACAAAGAAATACCCTCTAGTACAAGATTTGGTAACTATGGTTCAGGGCAGTGGTTCAAAGGCCATCTTAAGGCTGATTGTAATAAGTTTATGTTGTTGCGTTGGTTGGTGAAAATACATGAAGCTGTAGGATTTGCTTTGGTGTATAAACTAGGTAAAGCTTTACAGCTTAGTAGCACAAGGCCATGAGTTTGGGGTTGTTCTTCATCAACATAGCAGTCGTAGGACAAATGGAGAGATTGACTAGTCTTGTTCAATTTTTATTGTGGGAAATTAAGGACATTAAGAAGCTTAAAGAAGTGCAGAAAATAAAGAGCCAAGAGTTAAGGGCAGTTCATGAACACAGTAGTCATTGGACAACCGAAGAGAACAATTAGGCTTCTTCAATCGGGTTTGTTGGCTTAAAGAAATTCAGAAAATTAAGAAGTAGAACATATATCAATATATAAAACTCACCCAGCAGCAAATTAACAAAAAAAAAGAGAATAAAATAATACTCTATTAACACCTCAGCTGATATGTATCCCTATAATGTCACCCACATTTCTTCCTTTGAATACTCCAAAAAAGGCCAAAAGTAAAGTTGCATACAAGTATTAGTTATTATGTTCCCATTATTAATGTTGGAAAATACTTATAGTTGAACTTCAGGCAAATACATACAGAATAAACATAGACATACAGAGTCTATATAAACTAAAATTATAGAATATTTTTACTACCAATGAATAACATCACATAAAAAGAAAAAAAAAATTACAATGTGTACACAGACCACAACTAAGCCCATACCTTTGTTTTTACATTATGGAAAGTTGTTTCAATATGTATTAATAAAGACTAGTGAATCTCAGGTGCTTAATTTATGATTTAATCCAATTAATAAATAAACCAAGCATGGCAAATATAAATAGATAAATGAACCAATTAACACACACAAAAAAAATAAATAAATAAGGTTTTAAGTTGTTGGATAAGATGGCATTACAGCATGATTACAGGGTTGGCAATTAAGAAACAAGTTTATGACATTTTCAACTCTAACTCACAACGTAGGTGTCCTATTTTTTGTACCGTATGTCCCTACATGTCACATTTATCACCGCGAAGCTTCCCGTTATGAAAAAACAGTGGCTCGGGGGCAGTTTTGCATTTTCGCCGTCCGAACCCCTTTTTTCGACTAAGTTTATGAAATTATCAACCCTAACTTCCAACTTATGTGTCCTACTTACATACCATCTATCCCTACATGTCACATTTATCACCGGGAAGCTTCCCGTTACGAAAAAATAGTGGCTTGGGGGTTGTTTTGCATTTTCGGCCCCCGAACGCCTTTTTTCGACTATGTTTGTGACATTTTCAACCCTAACTCCCAAATTAATGACATTTTCAACTCTTAAAGCGAACATATTTAAACAAAGTAAGTGTGACATTAATGAAATTGTTCTTACCAAAAAGCAAACGTCGGATGCCCAACTTAGATTTCCAAGAGTTGTGACAGTTTGGCGACTACATTATTAAGATGCTCGACCTTTGCATTTGTCTCCTCCCTTGCCTTTTGTCCCTCCTCCCCCTCTTTCAACATCTCATTGGATAATTGAATGCGCTCCTCTCGCTCTTTCAACAGTTCATTGTAACATCTCTCGCGCTCCTCTCGCTCTTTCATTAACTTGTCATGATCTTTTTGTCGCTCCTCACGAAGTGCCTCCACCTTAGCTCGCATTTCCTCCATGTCCTTATCGTGTGCTCGTGATGCAAATATGGTAGAGGGTTGTGGGCCACTCCCAAATCCAAGCAAGTACCTTTTCTTCTGTCCAAGCACTTGCATTGAAATCTCCTCCTATGTCAATGGCGTCCCCGACTCGATGGCAGCCGCTTGTACATTGACCATCTCTTGCTATCATTGCAAATAAATAAGTCGAAAAATACTTTGGCAACATATATGTATTACTGGGTACTAAGTACACGAAAATATTAAATACATATATTTCCTTGTCACATACTTACATGCAACTCACGGCATTTCGGATGGATCCAATCATTCGTTTTCTTTGAAGTGTGGCTGTCCTCATAGAACTTTGGGAAATCCAACTCTCCATTTTTTGCTACCTATTAACACATCAACGTATAAATCAATGATTTTTGCAGACAGATTTTTGCAGATTTTTGCAGACAGATTAGTAGTTTAAACAGATTAAGCAGATTTTTGCAGACATATTTGTTGCAGACAGATTTGTATGATAACAGAGTTTTTGCAGACAGATTCGTAGTTTAGACACATTTCTTTGCAGACAGATTTGTATAGACAAATTTTCATTAACAGCTTTGTAAACAAATGTTTGGACAGATTTGGAGACAGATTTGGAAATTTGTTGCAAACAGATTATAGTTTATACAGAGTTCGAATTCAAGAAGATTATCATTAACAGAATTATATTTTCCAGACAGATCTTTTGCAGATTTTTTCAAAATGACCACTGCAAAATGACCACTGCTGGATCAACCAAGATGTCACAGAAGTCAGCAGAAGTGGAACTCAGGAAGCATTCATACATGACCAACAGAATCTCCACATATCTGAGATGTCTTACCAGCCATACTAACCAACATGGCACAGCAACCCAGCTGTAGCAACCCAGTTCAGAGCATACCAGACAATGCACAGCAGAAAACATTCATAGATGACCAACCAACCAAGGCACACCAACCCAACTATAGCACATTGCATAACCACTAGTAGATCAGAGACAGGCAGAACAGACCAGACTATTCAACACCATACTATTCAAGACAGCAGCAGAGGACTTAATGCAGATGTTCCAACAGATTTCTGTGAACACATTTTTCAGATTTTGTCAAACAGATTCTGTCCAACAGATTTTTGCAAACAGATTTTCGCAGATAGCCACTTATAACCACTTCAGATTATGTGTATTCTAACATGTGTTGACTTTCTAAAAATCTATTGAAACAGAATTGAAACAGATTTTTTGTAACAAATTTTTACAAACGGATTGAAACAGACCAATCAGAGTATCACTCACAGAATTTTCCAAACACAATTGAAACAGATTTTTACAAACAGACTTTTTCAGATTAGTTCAAATTGATTTTTGCAAACAGATTGTACGTCATATTTATTCAAACACATTTCGTCAAACAGATTTTCTCAAACAGAATTGAAACAGATTTTCCCAGTCAGATTTTGCGAGACAGATTTCGAATGAAAAACAGAGTATAGTCCTTGGACAGATTTCGAATGCAAACATCTGGCAAGGGTATCATTAACAGATTCTTTCCACACAGTTTTTTTGCAAATAGTAGATGTTTAGTAACAGAGTTCAACATATATATATATATATATATATATATGAATGTATTTGAAAATAAGAAAATTGTAGAGAATCGAAACAAGTATGAGTCGTGATTGGTTAGAAAGCATGGGTAGAACATAACATTTTTCATATCCAAACAACATATAATGGATTCAAGTTTAAAAAAAATCGAACTCACCATAGCAGCCATTGCGATAGGAAATGAGCGAGACCCATTGGTATGATTGTACGGCAATTGACTCCTATTACTCTTGCCAGCTTTTGACCGTTTCTAAAAATAAGTCAAGCAGATAAACAATATTTTTTGTCAATATTAAGGCATATCACATTTTCACATAGATGTATGTACTCTATCTAGTCTATTATTTTACCTGGTGAGATGCATCTTGCCATGCCACATCGATCAAATGCTTCCAATTATCTAAACTCACCCCTACGGGCGGATGAGCATAGATCTCATCACGTGGAAGTCCCTCTAACAATTCGAACTCTTGCTTCAAGGTGTACCTCCAATCTTTGTACAACCCATAGGCCTTCTTATTCACAATCTCTTGTGCTTGTAAGTCATTGTTGAAATCGTCTCCAATTTGAAACTTGTCCTACAAGCATAACAAATTGAAATTGTAATCATTAAATAATAGTCTTTCTTATTAGTATACATAATACAATTACATCTTGTGGACAAGTAATATTAGTTACAAGAACTCCTTGGATGACGACAGCTTTTGTACTCTCATCAAGAACTCCTTGAAATTGTGTTCTCTCAGCAGCATAATTTATCAGAGCCACTGAAAATTGCCATAGTTACTCATACTCCATCTGATCTCAGGAATGACAGAAAAAAACTGAATGAAGCATTTCCTTTCATTTTTCTAGAACCAGTTTTATATCATGCATCATGAGCTATGCATTGTTGCAACGGCTGAAATCAATCGTTGCACATCCAATGACCATTTCTAAAAATTTTTAAAATGAAATAAACAAAACACAAGGTGGGGTTTTAGAGAGATCAAAACTTGCAGCTTCACAGGAGAGGACACAACCTTCCATGGACGCTGAAGCAACGAAAAAGCGAAGATAACATAAAGCACTATGTGTGCCCTAAGCCTAGTTGTGTGCACCACAATCCTTCAAGGGCTCTTGGTGATCTCAATGCAACCGTCCATATAAATTATAATAACAAGTGAAAAGAGTTCATTCACAAATGAAAGGGAAAAAAAAGTTTATTATCAAACAAACCAGATCTTGTTCTGATAGAAACCATTCAGAACCTGATTTAAATCACCCCATTCAGATTACCAAAAATAAATTTCCAATAAACTGAATTAAATATTCTGATCAGCAAGAACATAATGATTTTTTATGGAAAAAATTCCATAGCATTGCGAAAGAGATGCGGCAATTGGAAATACAAGAGATGATTATTAAAATATGAATACATCTCAAAAAGACTTTAGAGAACGTCAACGAAGATATATTTCTCATAAGCAAAACGGTCAATAATTGCACCCAGTCTCAAAGGCACCAAAGGGAAAACTATGAAATGCAACCCATGATTTAAAACCCAAAAACAAAAAACTAAGGTCAAGGACAAAGGATGAATGTAGCTGATCACAAGTACATAGAAATAAAATCCATTTAATCTCAAGAAATTATTTTGGTTAGTCAATTCCCTGAATGTTCACTTACAATATTATTATATTCTACAAGCATATTTCAACTTAAAATGCACAGTGACACCAACTGTTTTTTTTTTTAAAAAAAAGCATACACAGCTAGGCCAACAGATCGAAAGTCATGATCCATGGGTACCAAGCTACTACTATATGTTCATTCAAGAACACAACATCAGCCGAAGAATCTACAAGGACAATCTAATCCCTGCCCTTGTTTTACCAAAACTATGATCACTGCATCTCTTTTCCAAGACACAAAATATCATACCTCAAGTGTGAATACTTATTCATTTGTTGATTTTAAAATCATTCATATCTCAAGATTCTCAACCTCCACATATTACATCAATTTCATACATTGGAAATGCAACTATGAAGAAGAACAATAGGTATGTATTAAGTACCTCAACATTCTTACCAAGGCATCCAAAAGCAACGAGCAGCTAGTATATTTACTCAAAACCATAAAAATTCCTCTTTTATAGGTACTACTACTACAAGACTTTGCCCTGATTTATGTAGCAAATGGCTTGATTCACCCCAAGCATTGCCCTAATTTTTAATTTGAATCACATTTCAATAACAATGCCCTAATTGAGGGCATTTCGTACTTCATATTCTGTGTGTTTTGACATATATATATGTAGATATATATATGTATGTGTGTGTGTGTAAACAGAGACAGATAGAAGCAGAGGGAAATCGAGAGGGAGATACAGAGAGAGGGAGAGACAGATGCGAAATTCAAACATACCTGGGAGGGAGTTCGGGGGATGATCCAGTTCGGGGGAGTTTGGGCGATGGAGACTATTCCTGTAGAGAAGAGGGCAGAGGCGTGAGTGTACATATGATTTGTGTATATAATTGAGTATATATGGAATCAAGGTTGTGAATATATGATTCGTGTGTGTGTGTGTATATATATATATATATGCATGTATGTGTGTGTGTGTGTGTAAACAGAGAGAGAGAGAGAGAGAGAGAGAAAGAGGGAAACCGAAAAGCCGTGTGAGATGTTTAAGAAATGGAGATGGAGATACAGAGAGAGAGAGGGAGATACCTGGGAGGGAGTGCGGGGGATGATATAGCAACTCTTGCGATGGAGATAGAGCAGTGATAGAGGCGGGAGTGCGAGAGGGAGGGAAATAGAATACTTTTGCAATGAAAATAAAAGAAAATAATATTTATTACCGACCAAAAATTATTTTCGTCGCTAATATATTTGCCTACTAAATTGTTTGGTAGCCGAATGAAAATAAAAAAATTTATTTTTGATCTTTGGTGACCAAAAGTTTGGTCGCCAAAAATATCTTTTCAGCGACAAAATTCATTTTAGTCGCTGTAGACCTACTTTTGCCTACTAAATTGTTTGGTAGCCGAATGAAAATAAAAAAATTTATTTTTGATCTTTGGTGACCAAAAGTTTGGTCGCCAAAAATATCTTTTCAGCGACAAAATTCATTTTAGTCGCTGTAGACCTACTTTTGCCTACTAAATTGTTTGGTAGCCGAATGAAAATAAAAAAATTTATTTTTGATCTTTGGTGACCAAAAGTTTGGTCGCCAAAAATATCTTTTCAGCGACAAAATTCATTTTAGTCGCTGTAGACCTACTTTTGCCTACTAAATTGTTTGGTAGCCGAATGAAAATAAAAAAATTTATTTTTGATCTTTGGTGACCAAAAGTTTGGTCGCCAAAAATATCTTTTCAGCGACAAAATTCATTTTAGTCGCTGTAGACCTACTTTTGCCTACTAAATTGTTTGGTAGCCGAATGAAAATAAAAAAATTTATTTTTGATCTTTGGTGACCAAAAGTTTGGTCGCCAAAAATATCTTTTCAGCGACAAAATTCATTTTAGTCGCTGTAGACCTACTTTTGCCTACTAAATTGTTTGGTAGCCGAATGAAAATAAAAAAATTTATTTTTGATCTTTGGTGACCAAAAGTTTGGTCGCCAAAAATATCTTTTCAGCGACAAAATTCATTTTAGTCGCTGTAGACCTACTTTTGCCTACTAAATTGTTTGGTAGCCGAATGAAAATAAAAAAATTTATTTTTGATCTTTGGTGACCAAAAGTTTGGTCGCCAAAAATATCTTTTCAGCGACAAAATTCATTTTAGTCGCTGTAGACCTACTTTTGCCTACTAAATTGTTTGGTAGCCGAATGAAAATAAAAAAATTTATTTTTGATCTTTGGTGACCAAAAGTTTGGTCGCCAAAAATATCTTTTCAGCGACAAAATTCATTTTAGTCGCTGTAGACCTACTTTTGCCTACTAAATTGTTTGGTAGCCGAATGAAAATAAAAAAATTTATTTTTGATCTTTGGTGACCAAAAGTTTGGTCGCCAAAAATATCTTTTCAGCGACAAAATTCATTTTAGTCGCTGTAGACCTACTTTTGCCTACTAAATTGTTTGGTAGCCGAATGAAAATAAAAAAATTTATTTTTGATCTTTGGTGACCAAAAGTTTGGTCGCCAAAAATATCTTTTCAGCGACAAAATTCATTTTAGTCGCTGTAGACCTACTTTTGCCTACTAAATTGTTTGGTAGCCGAATGAAAATAAAAAAATTTATTTTTGATCTTTGGTGACCAAAAGTTTGGTCGCCAAAAATATCTTTTCAGCGACAAAATTCATTTTAGTCGCTGTAGACCTACTTTTGCCTACTAAATTGTTTGGTAGCCGAATGAAAATAAAAAAATTTATTTTTGATCTTTGGTGACCAAAAGTTTGGTCGCCAAAAATATCTTTTCAGCGACAAAATTCATTTTAGTCGCTGTAGACCTACTTTTGCCTACTAAATTGTTTGGTAGCCGAATGAAAATAAAAAAATTTATTTTTGATCTTTGGTGACCAAAAGTTTGGTCGCCAAAAATATCTTTTCAGCGACAAAATTCATTTTAGTCGCTGTAGACCTACTTTTGCCTACTAAATTGTTTGGTAGCCGAATGAAAATAAAAAAATTTATTTTTGATCTTTGGTGACCAAAAGTTTGGTCGCCAAAAATATCTTTTCAGCGACAAAATTCATTTTAGTCGCTGTAGACCTACTTTTGCCTACTAAATTGTTTGGTAGCCGAATGAAAATAAAAAAATTTATTTTTGATCTTTGGTGACCAAAAGTTTGGTCGCCAAAAATATCTTTTCAGCGACAAAATTCATTTTAGTCGCTGTAGACCTACTTTTGCCTACTAAATTGTTTGGTAGCCGAATGAAAATAAAAAAATTTATTTTTGATCTTTGGTGACCAAAAGTTTGGTCGCCAAAAATATCTTTTCAGCGACAAAATTCATTTTAGTCGCTGTAGACCTACTTTTGCCTACTAAATTGTTTGGTAGCCGAATGAAAATAAAAAAATTTATTTTTGATCTTTGGTGACCAAAAGTTTGGTCGCCAAAAATATCTTTTCAGCGACAAAATTCATTTTAGTCGCTGTAGACCTACTTTTGCCTACTAAATTGTTTGGTAGCCGAATGAAAATAAAAAAATTTATTTTTGATCTTTGGTGACCAAAAGTTTGGTCGCCAAAAATATCTTTTCAGCGACAAAATTCATTTTAGTCGCTGTAGACCTACTTTTGCCTACTAAATTGTTTGGTAGCCGAATGAAAATAAAAAAATTTATTTTTGATCTTTGGTGACCAAAAGTTTGGTCGCCAAAAATATCTTTTCAGCGACAAAATTCATTTTAGTCGCTGTAGACCTACTTTTGCCTACTAAATTGTTTGGTAGCCGAATGAAAATAAAAAAATTTATTTTTGATCTTTGGTGACCAAAAGTTTGGTCGCCAAAAATATCTTTTCAGCGACAAAATTCATTTTAGTCGCTGTAGACCTACTTTTGCCTACTAAATTGTTTAGTAGCTGAATGAAAATAAAAAAATTTATTTATGATCTTTGGCGACCAAAAGTTTGGTCGCCAAAAATATATTTTCAGCGACAAAATTCATTTTAGTCGCTGTAGACCTACTTTTGCCTACTAAATTGTTTGGTAGCCGAATGAAAATAAAAAAATTTATTTTTGATCTTTGGCGACCAAAATTTTGGTCGCCAAAGATCAAAAATAAATTTTTTTATTTTCATTCGGCTACCAAACAATTTAGTAGGCAAAAGTAGGTCTACAGCGACTAAAATGAATTTTGTCGTTGAAAAGATATTCTTGGCGACCAAAAGATCAAAAATAAATTTTTTTTATTTTTATTCGGCTACCAAACAATTTATTAGGCAAAAGTAGGTCTACAGCGACTAAAATGAATTTTGTCGCTGAAAAGATATTTTTGGCGACCAAACTTTTGGTCGCCAAAGATCATAAATAAATTTTTTTATTTTCATTCAGCTACTAAACAATTTAGTAGGCAAAAGTAGGTCTACAG